GCCGAGGGGCGGGCACCCCCCCCCCCCCCAGGTCCAGCGATGAGCGGGTCTTTCGACAAGAAGCTCTCCAGCATCCTCACCGACCTCTCGGGCTCGCTGAGCTGCCATGCCGCCTCCAAGGACTCTCCCACCTTACCGGAGTCCTCCGTCACCGATCTGGGCTACTACACCGGCCAGCACGACTACTACCCGGGCCAGTCCTACAGCCAGCCCGTGAGCCACTACCCCTACCATCAGTTCAACCTCAACGGCATCGGCACCACCGGCACCTACTCGCCCAAATCCGACTATTCCTACAGCCCTTCCTACCGCCAGTACAGCCACTTCAGGGACCAGCAGCTCCCAGCCCAAGAAGCAGGTAGGCTGCTCGGAGGAGAGGGGCCATAGCCATCCCACTGATTGCACCCCTCTAAGTGTCCCCAAGTTGGGGACAGGGTGGCCGCGGGGCTGGGGAAGGGGGTGTTGTCCCCGCCGAAGGATGGGGTGGATGTTGGGGCAGGGGTCAGCCCCCTCCAGCATCCCCGGTGCTGCTGGGGGGATGCAGCGGGATGGAGCCGCGCTGGATGCGGCCGTCCGGGGCAATGCCCCGGGGGACGGGACAGTGCTACCGTGCAGAGCAGGGTGACCCTGAGCTGGGGGGGGGTCTGCACTGGGACCCCTTTGCTGTCACCGACCTCACACCTCCGCTCTCTGCCCAGTGTCGGTGAAGGAGGAGCCGGAGCCGGAGGTGCGGATGGTCAATGGGAAACCCAAGAAGATCCGCAAGCCCCGCACCATCTACTCCAGTTACCAGCTGGCGGCTCTGCAACGCCGCTTCCAGAAAGCCCAGTACCTGGCACTGCCCGAACGGGCCGAACTGGCCGCCCAGCTGGGGCTCACCCAGACCCAGGTAAGGGCTGAGCCCCCCTCGACACCCCCCATCACCCCAATTCCAGCCACAGGCAGGAGGGATCGGCAAGAGGGGGAGCCGGGGCTGCTCCCCCCTTGCAAAACCCGAATCAGTGGGAGTTTGGGAGAGGGGCTCTGGTCACAGCTGGATGGTGAGAGCCGGGAGGGGTCTGGGGGTCCCCGGAGATGGATGCTCCCCACTTCCTCGCGGGCGCAGGGGTCCCTGCCGTCAGATTTCCCTGCGCAGAGCAGATCTGCGCTGCTGAGGAAAAGGTGGAGAGGAGGGAAGGAGCAGAGAGAGGGGACGGAGCCCGGCCGTGCCCCGCTCCCCAGGTTTTGGGGTTTATCCCCCTCCCTCCGGAGCCAGCCCCAGCCCAGCCCTCGCTCTGCTCAGGCACCCGGCAGGGTCTGAGGCTGCATCCTGCCCCGGTGCCTGGGAGGGTCTGGGTCAGCAACACGCCCGGCCTCCCGAGAACACGGGACACCAAATCCCAGGCCGGACGGGACGCTCAGGACAGGGTGCTTGGGACGGGGTGCTCGGGACACCCCATCCCAGCAGCAGGTTCTGGCCCTGCATCCAGCTGGAGCGCGGGATCCTGGGGGCCGGACTCTGCTCCCCCTGGCCGGGCTTTCTGGGACTCCCCTTGTGTCCGTCCTCCCGGCGCTCCGTCTCCTCCATCCCACTTGGTCCAGGCAGAGAGAAGGGAATCTGGGACAGGAGACACATCCCCCAAGGGACCCTGTGCTGGGGGTGGCAGCTTAGGCTGGACTGGAAGAGCAGGGATGGGTGCGATGGCCTTTTCCTCCCCATGAGCCACCCAGATTTGGGGCTAAACCCTCGCTTTTGGGGCTTGCCTGATGTGGGGACAAATCGTCCCCACTGATCTGCTGGCGTGAGGGTGAGCAGGTTGTCACCGCCGTCACTGCAGCGTGCGACTCCCCCGCACCCCGTACAGTCCCGGGCGCCCTCCCTGCCTGCGGGCCGGCGCCGGCGCCCTTGTGCCGCCCTTGGCGCGGCGCTCCCCAGCGCCCGGCCTTCCTCCTCCTCCCTTGGGCGATGAAGCAATCGGGCACACTCGGCAAAGGGCTGACGGAGCGCGTCACCCGCTCCCAGAGGGACATCCTGTTTGGGTGACAACCACCGCTCCCCCCACCCCTTCCCCGGGGGCCAAGGGCGTCCAGCACCGCCGCCTCACCCAGCACCGGGGACGCTCCTGACGCCCGGCGTGCCAGACCGGCCTCCCATGATGCATGGTGTGACGGGCTTCCCGCGACGCCTATGTCCCCGGGGTCCCCACGACACCCGTATCGTGGGCACCTTCCCACGGTGCATGGTGTGTCCAGGTTCTCCGTGACACCCACCTCCCGGGTGCCTTCCCGCGAGGTGCCATGTGTGGGGTCCCCGTGACACCCGTGTCCCAGGGGGCTTCCCGTGATGCACGGTGTGTGGGGTCCCCATGATGCCCACGTCCTGGGTGCCTTCCCGCAGTGCACAGTGTGTGCAGGCTCCCCGTGACACCCACGTCCCTGGTCCCTTCCCACGTTGCGTCGTGTCTGGACTCCCTGTGACAACCATGTCCCTTCCCGCATGCCCAAGGTCCCCGCATCACCCCCATCCCGTGTCCCCTTCCCACGCACCCCGTTCAACCCGGTCATCCGCTTTTGGTGGCGGGGCACTGACCCCTCTCCCTCCCTTCCAGGTGAAGATCTGGTTCCAGAACCGCCGCGCCAAGCTCAAGAAGCTGTACAAGAACGGCGAGGTGCCGCTGGAGCACAGCCCCAACAACAGCGACTCCATGGCCTGCAACTCCCCCCCTTCCCCGGCCGTCTGGGACAGTAACTCGCACGGCAGCGCGCCGGGCCGGACCCCGCTTCCCCAGCCGCTTCCCTACAGCTCTTCCCCCGGCTTTTTGGAGGAGCACAACCCCTGGTATCACCCCCAGACCCTCAGCGGACCCCACGGACCCCACCAGCCGCCGCCGGCCACCACGATGCATCACACCTCCCCGGGGCCTCCCCCCAACACCGGTGCCGTCTATTAACAGCCCGGAGCGAGAAAAGGAACAAGAGACAGTGGCAGAACTCCTTTGCCTCCTTTTTTTTCCCCCTACTTTTTATTTTTTCTTCTTTTTTTTTTTCCCAAAAAAAAAAAAAAGGACACCCAATGTACACGCACCCCTAGATATACACTTATATATCCTATCCTCTCCCAGCTCATCTCAGGAACAAGAGGACTGCAAAGGGTTAAACTCGTTAGCTCCCAGCCCAGGGCAGGCGAGGAAAAGGTGGCGAATTCTTCTTATGCCTTTTTTTTTTCTTTTTCCATCACCCCCTAATAAAAACGGCCCCGGAGGAGCCACGTCCCGCCGGGGGTCCCTCGCCGGAGCTTTGCTTCTTGGGGCCACCCCAATGAGCTGCCTTGGGGGGGGCTGCCCCACGCCGCGGCCCCCCCGAGCAGGGGTGGGCACCCAGGAGGGGTGCGAGGGGCACCCGGAGCACCTGCACCCCGGCGGGGACGGAGCCCGTGGGGAGGAGGATGCAGCGTCGCGGCGCGCAGGTGCCCAGCGCCGATGCCAAAGGAGCGGGGATGCGCTTCGCCCTCGCGGCACCCAAAATCCGGGGACCGGGAGCGGTTTGGGGTCCCACGGACACCCCACGGGAGCAAACCGGGACCCCCAGCCCAGCCGCGTCCGTGGCAGCTTCGCAGGAATCGCCCGGGACGATGCTCAGACAAAAAGGTGGTTATTTAAAAATAAATAAGTGGGGGGGGGAGAAAATATTTTAATATTTAAACAGTTCAGGAATGGCTTAAGTTATTTTTTAAAGAGAAAAATCGTGCTAATGTCCGTTTTCTAATAGTGCCTCCATCTGTGTCAGTTAAGCTAACGGCGAAGCAGAATACCTATTTTTTAAATAAATTGACAACACATTTTAAATAAAAAAAAAAAAAACTCTTTACTATTTTTTAAGAGAATGATGCTATTTTTTTAAAAGCAGAAAGTGCAGTTTTAAGAAGTGTTCATATGCGTTGTACAGTCCCGAGGATCTTATTTATGTTGCCTTATATAAATAGGGGTGTATGGGGGAAAAAAGAGAGTGTACATAAGGTTCAGTTTGTATAAAGTTGATCCAAACCAAACTGGTTTCGGTCTGGTTTTTTGTTCGCTTTCTTTTTTTAAGGAAAAAACCAACCCTGGTTGATGGGAGCCCCCTCTCAGGACGGGGCCTCCTCTGAGCGCCCTTTGCTGCTTTCCTCGTGAACAGAAGCTGATCTATAAATGTTAATAAAACCACTTTGAATTTGAAGGCTCCAAACACCATTTTTGGGGAGGTTTTCGGTGAGCAGGGAGGAGCTCAGGAGTTTTCCAGGTTGGGAAACGCAGAGTTAAACCCCGCGTCCCCCGCACCCCATTTTTGGGGGCAGCTGAGGGGTGGTGGGGACCGGGGATGGCACCGGGCGATGGGCATGGCCACTGCCGGCTCACCCTGAGTCCCGCTTTGCCCCGCTGAGAGGGAACTGGGGGGGATTTTATTCCCGGTTTGCAGAGTCTCCCCTGAACAGCTGCAGAGCTGACGCTCCCGGTTCGCAGACTCCCCCCGGACCCGCTGCAGACCCCTGCCGCTCCCCTCCCGCTCCTCTTACTGGGAACCAGTAGGCTCCCAGCTGTGCAAACTGGGAGGGTGGCTGGGCTGCTCCGGTGTCCCCTTTGGGGTCACGCTGTGAGCGAGGGCTGGTGGGGGACAGGACCCCCACCAAGGCACTGATGCCGCGGGACCGACACTCGCCACCACTGCGGAGACGGTGACTTTCCCCATCGGCGTTACGGGGTTGGGAGGGCTCGAGTGACCCAAAGATGCCCCAGACGTGGGGCCTGGGGTGGTGATGGGGACAGTCCCTGGGGCTGAACCACCTCGGTCCCCCTGCCCTGCTGTCCCCGGTGTCACTCGCATCGTTTCATGGGTGGGAACGCAGCAAAGGGTCGGGGGCTGAAGCCCCATCGCCCATCCTGGTGCTGTCCCCACCGAGCCGTGCTGGGGACAGGGGACCTGCCCTGGTCCCTGGCATCGCATCCCCGATGGATGGGGTGGCCCTGGGGACGGTCCCTCTGCACTGTCTGGGGACACCCCCAGCACCGTGGGGTGCCGGCACGCCGGGCACGGCCGGGACGCACCCAGCCTCCAGCGTCCCCAGAGGTGTCCCCACGTCCCCTCTTCCCACAGCCAAGTCCACGTGGGGCCAACCTCGCACCTTGCACCCGTGGGGGTTTCCCCAAATCCCCACCACGGGCTGCACCCGCCGGCTCCCCATCCCCATCCCGTGCCCCCGGCGTGCCAGCGTCGGGCGCAGCCGGACCCCCGGGCATCCCCATATGGCGCCTGCATGACCAGGCCGGTTGCAAAGAATTAAGGGGTGCTGCCAGCCCCCCGTCCCCCAGCACTTGGGGCTGGGGTTGGGGTTGGAGGCTGCGTGCAAACCGCCCCAGCGCCGGCAGGCGGGCAGACACGCTGGAGACACGGGGGTTATTAGGGGGAGGCTGCCAGCAAGAGCGAGGAGGCGGCGGGTTGGGAGAGGAGGAAACCGAGCGGCGTTGCCTGGAGTGAGAAGCACGGCATGAGCTGGCGCTGGGTTATTTTTTTTTTTCTTTTTTAATTTAGGGGGGGAAGGAAAAACAAAAAAAAAAGAAGATTGCATATCCGTGGATTATATAAATGCTGGGTGCATCGCTGCCGGCGGACAGGCACTAATCCTGCTCCCCTCCGGCAGCACTGCCTGTGAGCCGGGCTCCCCCGGCAGCCTGTGCCGCCAGTCCTGACGCCCCGGGGATGGGCACCGGGGAAGACGTTGCGCTTATGTAGCCCCCCCATCCCTCCCATCCCACCCTCTGTCCTGGCCACAGAGCATGTCCTGGAGCCCGCGTAGGGCTGGGGGTTCCTGGGGGTCTCAGCACCCTGTGGGGTGGGCTGGGTGGCGGGAGCCACGGCTGGTGCGGGAGCCCCTTGCACCTGCCCGATGAGCCGCAGCAGAGCCGGGCACGGCCCCTCTTGGCTGCCTTCCCCCGTTCCTCCTCGCTCAGCCCCATCTCCAATAGCCCAGCACCAGCAGCACCTGCAGCTCTTCCAGCTCAGAGCTCCCCAAAAGGGGCTGCGGGACCCAGAGCTCCCTCCCCAGGGACAAGCCCACTGCTCCTGCTGCCCCAGTGTGCTCCCGAAAGCAGAACGGGGCCTGAGAGCCAGAGGCAGGGCCCCCACCGGGGTGGGGACGTCCCCCCATCACTCCACTCCTCCCAGCATCCCTCAACCCGGCCCTGGCATGGAATGAAGTGACCATCCTTCATTATCCCAGTTATCCCGGTTATCCTGGGGCTGGAGAGTGGCACCGGACAGTACCGGGATGGGGATGCTGGGGACACCCAGCCCCTTGGAGGGGATTTTGCCTGCAGCTATGGGCAGGAGGAGGGCTCAGATGTGTTTTCCAGCCCCCGTGGGTCCAAGCTGTGGGGCAGCAGTGCCCAGTGTCCCACCGGCGTCCCCGCACGGCTCTGCCCCGCGTGCACAAGCCCCGGCGCGCAGCCCTCCCAGCGCGGCACACGTTTCCTGCCCCGTTGCAACACGCCGCTTCCAGCCGCTTGCGTCAGGCTGCTGCCAGCACAAAGAGCGGGGGCAGCTGCCCGCCCACAGCCCGGCCTGGCATCCGCCATGTCTTCATCCCCTCCTCTGCTCCTGGCTAACCATGCGTGCGGCGGCAGCCGGAGCCAAGGAGCAACGCCGGGCAGCCACGGCATTGCCGCCAGCTGGGGCTCCGTCACTGTGTCAACTCTGGAAAATAGGACAGAAATGCTCCTGAGTGGCCTTGGGGACATCTCTGCTCCCTGTCCGCCCCAGTCCATGTCCCATCACCCTGCCTGGGCTGGAGACAGGAAGGGAACCCAAAGTCCCCCCACTGCCCAAACCCGCCCTGGCAATTTGAAGGGGGCTGGCTGGATTTCCAGCCGGCACAGGTGGAGGGAAGAGGGACCCGAACAAGCCCAGGACCATCCGTGTCCCCAGTGGGATTTCTCCCATCCAGCGGGTGAAACCCTACCAGACTGGGATGCCTGGGAGCTCTTGGCCTTTTCTGAGTGTCCCCAACCAGGGACGCTTTTGGCCAGTGGAGAAGAGCCAAGACCAGCTTCAGTGATGCCGTGCTGGCAACGCCGGCCCCCTCCGGGGTGCAGAAGGCGTCACCGTCCAGTTTGGCTGCAGAGGAAAGGGCAGAACAGCCCCCAAACCCCCTCCTCAGGGCACAAGACCCCGTCCCTGTCCCCATCCCCATCCCACGGGAGCATCCCAAGCAGGACCCAAGCGCAGGCGAGTGGCAGCAGGGGCGGGCTCCCCTGGGTGCCTGAGAGACGGGCTGGAGCAGGAATTTCCCTGCACCCAAGGGTGCCCTAACTGGGATCTGCTCCCACGCGTCAGGGCAGGAGCCGCCGTCCCGGCCGCACCGTGAGTGCCGGGCGGGCCGGATCCTGGCCCCGGGAACCGAGGGCTGCTGCCTCCCTCCCGCTGCAAGACAGGACCTGCAAGCGGCTCTGGCTGCAGGTCCTTGGCAGCACATCCGTCGGGAAAGCCGAGCGGGCGCCACGGCTTCTGCCTTCTGCTTCCCCCCTCCTGCCAGATCCTTCCCCTCCCGGGCACACCGTGCTGCCAAGCCCCCTCCGACCCCACCGCCAGCTCTGCAGGGGGTCACCCCAAATGCGCAGGGCTGGGACAGCACCCAGCACCTGGTTCGTGGATGGCAGCACCCTGAGCCATCCAAGAGCCCTTTGCAGCCAAGACCACACCATGTTTCAGCCCCTTCCCATGGCCGGTGAGTAATTCCTGGAGGAAAGCCGCCTCTTCCAGCCCAAAGCCCCCACCCAGGGTAAATCCCACCCGCGAGTAGTTGGATTTTCCCCAGTCTCTGGATGTGAAATTCTCCTTTCCTCCAACATTGGTGCAAAGCAAATCCATCCGCCTCCCTAAAGCCTTGCTGGGGAGGACGGGCTCCATCACTCAGGGAAAATAAAGCCAGCCTTGCCCTGCACAGACCTCTGCTTCTGCCAGACTCGTCCCCACTTGTGGACACCATCTACCCATGCAGGGGACACCACACATCGTGTCTTGGCCCGGGACCACAGTCGGTCCCGGCCATGGTGTCCCCCAGGGTGCTGAGCCAGCCCACGGACTCCACGTCCTCCCCGTACCATCGCTGCGATGCTCCCATGGCCACGGCAGGACACAGCCAGGGACAACCGTGCCTGCATCCCCGCGGGGTCACTGCCAGCACCCCAAACCTCTCAGCCGAGGGACCAAACCCGCTATCGGCTGGCTGGGTGGCGGGGGCTCATGTCCAGCCCTGCGGCTGCCAGCGGGGACCCGGGGCTCCCCACGTGCCTCCGGCCCTGGGACACGCCGTTCCCACGCTCGGCACCAGATCTCCGGCCCTGCCCATCTCCTAGCTATTGATTGCTTGCTCAAAAACCCAACTCCTCAGGTGGGAGCCAAGTGCTCGGAAAAACTCCAGCCCCGTGTGCTGCCAAAGGTGCGAAGCAAACAGAGCCGCGCGTGGCATTGCGGCATCGCAGCATCACTCCCTCCCTGATCTCGCTGGCTGGGACGGCAAACGTGGTCCCCGGGGCAGGAAGGGACCCTTGGAGCAGGGGAAATATAAAGTGGGAATATCTGGAGCGAGGATCATGACACGTTTGTGCAACGGAGCAAACCTGGGTACGGACCCGATGCACCAGCAAATCCCTGCTGGGGAGAGCCCCAGCGTGGGGTCTTGTCCCCATTGTGGGTGACAAACACTGAGCAGGATTGGGAAAAGCAGGAAAGAACAATAATGCGTTTTCTAGCTGGGTTCTGTCCTCTGAAAAGCACAAAGGAGAGGTTACCCACTGCCAAGCCTGCAGTGGAAAAATACTCCCCGCTCCCAAAACGCCCTCGCTCCCAGGGCCAGGTATTCACGGGGGCGGCTGGAGACGCGGGGCAGTAACCCCGGGCTCGACCCGCTGCGGGATCCCCAGCCTGCGCCGCATCCCCCCGCCTTCCCTCTCCCGCCCCTATTAAGGGAGACATCTTCAACAGCTCCAAATTGCCTGTAATTACCCGAGGAGGCGGCAAGAAGCCCCTCACCGAGGGGCCCGGGTCCACAATTACTATAATTGCGCCTCCATTTCGGGGGAGCGATCGCATGTCTGAAAATAGCGTTGGGTCCCGCACAGATGTTTGGGGAGAGACAGCCCCAGCCCCCTGCTCCAGTACCCCCATCCCCACGGGGCCGTTTTCCCGGGAGGTTTTGGAGATGGGAGCCTCTGAGGACCAGGACCGAAGCATCTCCCCCAAACTGGGGACAGACGCCTGCAAAGGGAGCTGCAGGTATGGAGGAGCAGTCTTTACTTTACAAGTGTACAGCCTATTTATAAAGCGGGGGGCACATACAATACCGGATGGTATTTATAAATAAAGCCAGGCTGGGGGGTCCGGGGACTCCCCACCCCCCCCGCCCCCCCCCGGGCCCCCC